GCTCTGGACATATGCACGGCCAATGCCTCGCGGTGTTATCACCTCTCTTCGAGACACCCTCTTGCTTGAAATGCTGAGCAGAGTCAATTCAGTTTCCCAAAGCATAGAGCACTGAAAGGAAGGGACAATTATCCCAAGCTGATATAGCCGGACGCTCCCATCGCGTGAAGAGACTGCTAGAACGGTGAAGAACCACATCACTCGCTACCAAACTGTGTTTGCAAACGTTGCGTTTTGCCGAGGATTCGAACCCCTGTGTATCGTGCGCGCGCGGACAGCGATCGTTCGGCCTGATCCATTGGGTCAACTAGGAGGTTGATGAGATGTGTTGCCAAGAACGGCCGAACTGGCATACGAGCCACTTTTCTTCATGGTTTGCGTGAAAATGTATTCGGATCCAAACGTACTAAAATTTTATCGAACAGCTAAGATGCCGTGCACAATAATCAATCAAAAGGGATCATGTCATAGAGTAACTCGTCCTCGTGGGACCCTCCCGGATTCAAAACTGGTCTTCCATCTCGTAGCGCTTTTCTGCGGCGTCTCACCCTGCTGTTGAGAGCTTCCTTGATTGTTTTCCACACGTCAACTTGGAGGCGATCAGGTACGTCGTAGTATTTGAACACGCACTAAAAATATGAATGAAGTGTGCGGTTTATGTATGCTTCTTAAATCATACCTCCTGTAATGAACAACACGCGGTCGTAAGACCGGACGCGCTGGTCCACTGGAATTTCTAGCTCTGCTAAGTCATTCCTGTAAACTATCAATTCTAAAGCAAGCGCGAAGCCGGTGCGGTTCTCTCCTTTGATTTGACGTATATTCGCAACAGTCTTCGCGCTGGCGTACGAGTACTCCATTGTACCTGAAGAGAGATTGAGGGAATCTCCTAAAAAAATTTTCCTTCATCAGGAGTATTTGAGCTCACTGTCAGAGCACTTCGCCGGGATCCGTTTCAGGAGTTCCTTTAACATCTCGTCCGTCCTTGCCTGCTGTTGAGTTAGTGAAGCGATCATCGAACTCCTGAATGAATCGACCTCACTGAAACATTTGAAAAAGCAACCCGCTACAGTACA